TACAACTCAAAAAATTCCAAGAGACCCTAATCTTGTGATCAAGATTCTTCCAATTAGTCCGGCTGATGTGTATCAGTGGTTGAGCACTGACCTATAAGGCAGGAGGTCACAGTTTAATTCTGGTCAGGGCACATGCCCAGGTTACCGGTTCAATCCCCACTGTGGGGCATAGAGGAGGCAGCCAAACAATGATTCTAATTATTGATGTTTCTATTGCTTCCTATCACTTCCTCTCTAAAATAAAGATCCTAATATATAAAAACCCAGGGTCATAACATCCAAAACGATCAAAGGCTCGACCGACAGGAAAGCAGTGTTGGGTTGTCATGGTGACCCAGCATTGACTGCCCACTGCTCTGGGTGCTGCAACTCAGCACTAACTGCCAAAGGAGCTGTGGATCAGGTCCGAAAAGAGGCCTGGAGAAAGTAGCAGGGTCTGATCCCAAGCCTCTGTGGCAGCTCTTGATCAGCCCTTGCCTCTCTCTTTCTCTTGGGGCCTGGTCAGCAGCTGTGCCTCTCTTTCTCTTGGGCCTCTGCTGGGGCTGCTAATCAGCCCAGCCCCTCTGATCAAGCCCATTCATAGGCCTGGAGACACTGACTGGCATAGAAACCAATCACAACCAAATTTGGATGATGTGCAAGGAGCCAATGGCTGCTTAGGAGGCAGAGCTTTTGATGCTGACTGGCATAAAAACCAACCAATCAGAACCTAATATTGGTGAAATGTTGAAGGCAGAACCTAAGGTAGGGGATGAGGAGGGATTTTAAGGGCGATAACTGTTTGGTGTAAGGTGCAAGAAAGTGGTTCAATTTTTAATCACTGGTTTGGCAGTATAGTGCATATGGCTATCAGTCCAGATATAGGGATTATGTGTTTTTGTCTGCCAAGAGCATCTCCTCCTGATGAAAAAGGCTTTCCCCTCCATTTAAGCAATCCTATCCTAAATAATCTATTTTTACTACTAAAAGGGTAATATGCAAATTAGGGTCATTTTCCAGACGCCTGACTTCCTTCTGGACAAAGGCAGAGGCCATTATGGGCGATCAGGCTGGCAGGGGAGGGCAGATGGGGGAAAAATCAGGCCTGCAAGGGAGGCTGTTGGGGGCAACCAGGCTGGCAGGAGAGCAGTTGGGGGTGAGATCAGGGCAGCAGGGAAGGGCTGTTGGGGGTGATATCAGGCCAGCAGGGGAGAACCACTTGGGGCGAGATCAGGCCAGCAAGGTGGCAACCAGGCCAGCAGGGGAGTGCAGTTGGGGGCGATATCAGGCCAGCAGGGCAGTTGGGGGTGAGATCAGGCTGGCAAGGGAGAGCATTTAGGGGTGATCAGGCAGACAGAGGCAGTTGAGGGCAAGGTCAGGCTGGCAGGGGAGGGCAGTTAGGGGCAATCCGGCAGGCAGGCAGAGGTGTTAGGGGTGATCTGGAAGGTAGGCAGAAGGATTAGGGGAAATTAGGCAGGCAGGCAGAGGCAGTTAGGGGCATCAGGAAGTCAGGCAGGTGAGCAGTTAGGAGCCAGGGGTCCCAGATTGCGAGAGGTAAACCACAGGGATTGGGCCTAAACCGGTGGTCAGTAGTCCCAAGGGATACCCAATTGGAGAGGGTGCAGGCTAGGCTGAGGAAAGCCCCCTTGCATGAATTTCGTGCACCATACATGAATTTCGTGCACCGGGCCACTACCCTGTTTCCCCGAAAATAAGTCAGTGTCTTATATTAATTTTTGCTCCCAAAGATGCGCTAGGTCTTATTTTCAGGGGATATCTTATTTTTCCATGAAGAAGAATACGGTATACGTTTATTGTTAAATGAAAATAAAGGAAATTTATTACCTGTATATGGTATGGTAGTATGGTAGTTGTCAACACAAACCAGACAAACTGAATCCTACAGTATCAAGAATTTACTCATTTATTCAATGACAATCATGTCATCATCTTTTGGAACATCATCATAACAATCCAATTCCTGAATTTCCTGGTGAATTTCTTGTGACTCCATTTCTTTCAGAATCAGTGGACCAAATCTCTCATGTTTAGCAATAGCACTGTCTTTAAATGAGTACTTCTTGTCAAGGTAGCCTGCTCGCAGTGCATTTGCAATGCAACTGTCAGTGATTTTCTACCATGAATTCTTCAACCAAGTCACAACTTCTTGCAGTTTAGGTTTCACAGTTTCCACGCTGATTTCTCTCCATTCTATTTTCAATGTAGTCATTAATTTTCATGAGCAAATTGTCTTTGAATGGCTTGTTTATTGCAATATCAAGAGTATGGAGATAGGCCATCATTCCTGTGGGAATCATTATCTGATCTATTTTTCTTTCATGAAGAAATGTCTTCATGTCTTTAGTGCGGTGAGTACTGACTGCATCCCAGACTAGCAGATGTCTTTGGCTCCCTTGCAAAACAAGTGGCAGCATTAAACTGACACACTTCCTTATAACTGCTTGTGTGGCTCAGGCATTTTCAGTTTCAAGAATAAAAATGCCCAAAACACGTTCAATCTTTTCCTTCTTGCCCTTAGAAATCTTTAAAGGTGGGATTTTAGTGCCATCCAGACAAATTGCCAAAATACAGGAAACACGTGCACTTTCGTAAGCAGTGGAGGGAATGTACACTAAGGAGGCACCCTGCTGTTCAATTGTTGTTTGAGATGATTGGCCCATAAACACTGCAGTTTCATCCATAGCAATCATGTTGGAAAGATTGTATTTAGAAAAGTCAGCATCATCAATAAAGGACTTGAATGCAAGTGCTGGCTTAATAACTTGAGTATCTTCCAACCTAAACAATGTTGTACCGGTAGATCTTCTTAAAGACAGTTCATTTCGCTGAAGGAAATTATCCAGCCAGTGTTGTGATGCTTTGAAGTCTTCGGGGGCTATGTCAAACTGTGGTGCCATTGCAAGGGCAAATTCTTGAATCTGAGCCTTATTCACAACTAAAGCCTCTGCTCTCCTGTCAACAATTCATTCACAGATCAGGTCTTCCAGCTCAGAAAAATAATGGTTGCCGACCTGATCCACACTTGTGCTTTTTAGCATTTCCCTTGTCCACTTGTTCAATGAGGTTACCATACTCTGCTCGCCATTTTTGGACCAATCGGATACTCAACATATTCTCTTTGCAGAAAGCAGTAAGATTTTGGCCCCAAGAGTCTTCCACGATTCCTTTCTTGTACTCCACAGAGTAGCCTTTTCTTTTTGCGCTTATTTCTAGGGGTAAAAAAAAAAGGAATTGGGGTATCAAGGTGGGGGGAGGGGATCACTTAAAATGACACGGGGGGATCATAGGGGGGAATCAAAATGGCACAGGAGAATCAGAGGGGGGATTACCACTTTAGTAACCCCTTTTGATCCTCCTGTGTCATTTTGATTGCCCCCTCTGATCCTCCTGTGTCATTTTAAGTGATCCCCCTCCCCTTACCCCTGTGCCACTGAACACCTTCACCAGACATCCCTCCTACCCCTTTATCAGACATTTACCCCCTGGGGCCTGCCTGGGGACTGTCACTGGGCTTGCTGGGGCCTGGATCTGGGCTGGAGCAGGTTCTGCCACTGACTGAGAACCTTCAGTCATCATGAGGGCGGCTGCGAGCATCAGATAATGTCACCAGAGACAGACCAGCACTCACCACCTTAGCCTTGTCCCATCTGCTCTAATGCTCCTGACCCGCATCTGCGAATGTCTCTTCCTCTCTCCCACTCCGCTCACTGCTCACTCGGACCTCTGCTCTGCCTCCACACAGCAGTGATGTCAGGACTCCGCATAACGTCACTGGTTGCTAGACGCCAGTCGGGGCGGCCCTAGCAACCAGTTTACGGTAAATTTTCATTCTGAGACAGCCTGGGGGGGGGGGGGCTTATTTTCCAGGGGGATACCTTATATTTCACTCAGAAGGAAACCTGTAAGTAGGTCTTATTTTTGGAGGATGTTTTCTTTTCGGGGAAACACGGTAGTATATATAAAAAGAGATTCTAAGAGTTACTCTATTTTTTAAGAATATAAACTAATGAGCTGGCAAGAGTCTAGAGTATTCACATTTAAAACAAGGTGGTTTTCAAAGAACACATGTAAAATGAAACACATCTTAGTAATATTTGCATCTTTGTAAATACTTTATTTTGTTTCCAGCTCCAATATGGAAATTCACAGGTTATTTCAAAGTCAACTAATATACAGCTAATGAAATAAAAATGTATAAGAAGCTTATGTGATATAAGATACACATAAAGAAAACCTGAAATGTTAACTTAATTTGTTCTACTAAGAACATCAGGGCTTGCAGAATTGATACTGGCCTTATATATCAATTACTTGTTTCTGTAAATTCTTGTTGACTCTTTCAGAGAGCGTATTGTGCTACTGTGTCTAAGAAATCAGTGAATAACTAGGTTTTCCATTTTATCAAAGTACAAAGCATTACTTCAATACTAGGCCTTTCTTACTGAGTCCTGTATCTATTTTCTTTTATTTTTTCTCTCTTTCTCTTTCTTTCTTTCTTTCTTTCTTTCTTTCTTTCTTTCTTTCTTTCTTTCTTTCTTTCTTTCTTTCTTTCTTTCTTTCTTTCTTTCTTTTTTTTAAAAAATATTTTATTGATTTTTAACAGAGTGGAAGGGAGAGGGAGAGAGAGTTAGAAACATCAATGAGAGAGACACATCGATCAGATGCCACCTGCACACCCCCTACTGGGGATGTGCCTGCAACCAAGATACATGCCCTCGACTGCAACTGAACCTGGAACCTTTCAATCTACATGCCTATGCTCTATCCACTGATATAAACCAGTGAGGACGTATATCTATTTTCTTAAAAGTACACTTTCTTTTTACAAAGTTTGTTAATAAAATCTTAAGAAATTACTGAATCAGAAGCAAAAACAAGGTGTCTTTATATTACAAAGAAAATCAATGAAGACTTAAGAAGATAAATATCTATTATTAAAAAAAACAAAAAAAAAAAACCAAATTCTGACATTCACAGCAAAATTCCCACATGATCTTTTCCTAAAAAAGACCCTTTCCAGCTTGTTTCCAAACTTCTTTTACTCCTTTAATGCTTTCTTTTTTCACACATTTCCAGTATTCTTGAACACTTAGTTGTTGTGGTACCTGTTAATCAAAAGTCAAAATTAAGGGATCATTCTCTTTAAGGTTAAAGATTATTTCAGGTATGTACTGTTACTATTTATCTCCCATTCTCCTTCAAAATCAATTTGAGGTGGATTATGTTATAAAAGGTGATTGTACAATGGGTGAAAAAAAGAAGATATATGTACTACTATTTGTAATGCTTCAAACAATAAAAAGAAAAAAAGGTGATTGTAACAGAACTGTAGAATTAATACTGGCCTTAAGATAAGGGTAAAAATAAAAGTGAATGTGTTGTAAGAATGTCCACAGGAGCCCTAGCCAGTTACTCAATGGTTAGAGTGTCGGCCTGAGGACTGAAGGGTTCGATTCTGGTCACGGGCAAATACTTTGGTTGCAGGCTCGATCCCTGGCCCTGGCTGGGGCATGTACAGGAGGCAATCAATTGATCTGTTTCTTTCTTTTTCTCCCACTTTGTTTAAAATCAATGGGAGCCAGGGCCGGTTGGCTCAATGGATAGAGCGTCGGCTTGGGGACTGAAGGGTCCCAGGTTCGATTCCGGTCAAGGGCATGTACCTTGGTTGCGGGCATATCCCCAATAGGGGGTGTGCAAGAGGCAGCTGATCGATGACTCTCTCTCATTGATGTTTCTAACTCTCTATCTCTCTCCCTTCCTCTCTGTAAAAAATCAATAAAATATATTAAAAAAAATCAATGGGAAAAAATATCCTCCAGTGAGGATTAACAATAAAAACAAAACAAAAAGCAAACAAAGAATGTTCACACAATAACCAAGGAATGGAGAGATTTCTCCCTCATAAAAAAGGAAAAACTTTGATTTTTAATATATTGGTTTTAAAATATAATTATTTAATATTTTCCCTCTCCTGGTATATTTTATTTAGCTATGTGGAATAAAGTAAGCCTAAGTTTTTTATTTAACCTTGGCTAAAATTAAAAAGCAACTATAGGTCACAATATATTTGATGAGAAGCCTTAAGAAAAAGTAATATAATTCATCTTAAGTGTTTTGTGAATTAAAAGTACTGTGTGGTTGGTAGTGGTTAGAGCATGAGCCTATGGATGAAAGAGTCATGTTTGATTCCTGGTAAAGAATATGTAGCTCAGTTGCAGGTTTCCCAGCCCCAGTAGGGGGCCTGTGAGGGAGGTGACCAATTGATGTACCTCTCTTATGTTCATGTTTTTTTTTTCTTCTCTCTCTGTACCCCCCTCTTCCACTCTCTCTTGAAATCAATGGAAAAATATATCCTCAGGTGAAGATTAAAAAAAAAGTACTATGTGGTTATTATTCCTCTTAACTAAACAAGAAAGTGAAAGTTGGACAACATTGGGATCCTGGTGAGCAAAGGAGCATAGTACTACTGGAAATCCACCAAATGGAAGCAAAAACCTACTTTACATTAGGCATATATTTTTTTCCTATCAATGACTTATAGCTCTTCTCTTGAAAAAATTTTTAAAATTGATTTTAGAGAGGGAGGAAAAGTTAAAAAAATCAATGATGAGAGAGAATAATTTATTACTGCTGCACAGGGATTGAGCCGTAACCTGGGCATGTGCTCTGACAGGGAATCCAACTGTAACCTCCTGGTTCATAGGTCAATGCTCAACCACTGAGCAATGCTGGCTAGGCTTACAGCTCTTCTTTTCAATGTTTTTTTGAGAAATGGTAGAGCTCCTGGATATATTAAATTGTTAACTGCAAAGGTTGGTTTAATCTCCAGGAATATGATTATTAACTAATAGAGGCCCAAAGCACAAAATTCGTGCCTAGGTACGGTCCCTGGGCCTGGCCTACAATCAGGGCCATCATTCCCCAGCTGTCTGGCCCGGCCTGTCCCCTGCTGCTACCCACCCTTGGTTCCCCATTCACCATCAGGTGAGGTCGGCTGTTCCTGTCTGCTCAACAGCCCCGCCCCCACGCTGCGGGAGGCCTCAGGCCATATCGGAGCCTGATGGTTGGGGAAAGGGACCAAGAGGTGGTCAGTGCATCTTATAGTGACTGGACTAGAAGTCATTCTGCCATTAAGGTCAATTTGCACATTACCCTTTTCTTATATAGGATGAGATACTGGATGACTACAAAGCTTGTAAGACAAGTTTGCTAACTGAAATGCTATTTGTTACTTTCGCCTAAGTAATATTTGTGTCAAGGAATGAATGTGATTTTCTAAGTTGTAAAAAGGTTTGTTTTGTGAACCCACCATATTTTCTCTCTTTCTTTTTTTTTTTTAATATATATTTTTATTGATTTTTTACAGAGAGGAAGAGAGAGAGATAGAGAGTTAGAAATGTCGATGAGAGAGAAACATCGACCAGCTGCCTCTTGCACACCCCCCACTGGGGATGTGCCCGCAACCAACGTACATGTCCTTGACCGGAATCGAATCTGGGACCTTTCAATCCGCAGACCTACGCTCTACCACTGAGCCAAAACGGTTTCGACCATATTTTCTCTCTTTCATCTTCTCTTCTGGCGTAGCTGTCTACTTGCCATATGGTCCTCTTTGGATCCGGGTTTGCATGCTGCCTTTTTGAGGGATTTTAGCATATTCTTCTCTATATTAAATTTGTATTTGATCTGTCCCAGTTATAGACCAATATGTGAATTTGAGTGAATAATGATATAATTAACTAACATCTACTGCAAGTGTCTCAGCCACTATACTAAGTATTTTACACTTAATTCTTATAGTAATTCTTTCTGGTAGATTCTATTAATTTCCTCATTGTACAAATGAGGAATCTGAAGCTCAGAAAAATTAAGTGGTTTTGTAAGATTTGACAGTTAACAGGTGATAGAGATGGGATTTGAATCTAGGTGTGTCTAACTGCAAAGTCTGAAGTAAATTCTAGGCTATAATTTCTGAATAGTGGTTTCTGATTAGATTCAGATTTTTTAAAAAGGCAAAAAAAAAAAAAAAAAGTTAGATCCCATCTGGAGAAGTTATCTCTTGATAAATTATAAAAACTCTACTCGAGATTATACATTTCCTCAAATTCTAGGTTTAACATCATCCAATTAATTTCATTTAAACATGTAGTTATTTAAAAACTCAAAATTTGTTACCCATAAACCTCGGTGCATCCTGTTTTTTAATACTCCAAGAAACTCTCCATGACTAAGACATTCATCACCATCCAAATCAAAGATCTTGAAGACAGTGTCCAAAATATTGTTTGAGAGCTCCTGTCCTGTAGCTACTTTCACAGCTCTCTTAAACTCTGCTAAAAAACCAAAGAAACATAAAAGAACTCATCTACCATGTGAAACAGTGTAAATGAAATTAATCTAATTTTTCATATTAAAAATATTTTATTGATTTCAAATGGACCTTGAGAGCTTGTTTGGAGGTTCTAGCAGGGGAGCGCAGCTACTCGTATACCCTTGACCGAAGACCGGTCCTCTCCTCTTGGGGGAAAGTCGTCCTCTTCGACCGAGCGCGCAGCTTCGGGAGGGACGCACATGGATCGGTGAGGGAGGAGGGGGACACCCGCCTAGCCAGCCAGATCAGCCGAATCAACCCTGGCGATCAATGGGGTGACAGATGTCGCAGCCAGATCGCCCTCACATCCAAAAAATATTTTATTGATTTCAGAGAGGCAGGGAGAGAGATAGAGATAGAAACATCAACAATGAGAGAATCATCAATCAGTTGCTCCCTACTGGGGACTGAGCCCACAACCTGGGCTTGTGCCCTTGACCAGAATCAAACCCGGGACCCTTCAGTCCACAGGCTGACGCTCTATCCACTGAGCCAAACTGGCTAGGACTAATTTTTCATAATTTGAGAAGTAAAAATAATCTAAATAGTTGTTATATGGGAAGTAAATAAAAAACATAAATATCTCAACTGGCGTGGCTCAGTGGCTGAGCCAGGAGGCTACAGTTAGATTCCCAGACAGGACACATGCCCGGTTTGGGCTCGACCTGTAGTAGGTGCATTCAGGAGGCAGCCAATCAATGACTCTTTCTCATCACTGAAGTTTCTCTCTTCCTCCCTCTTACTTCCTCTCTGAAAACAAAAAAAAAAAATACGTTAAAAAGCAAAAAATACACATCAAGAATGTATTCAAATAATAAATTTGGCTGAGAAGTGCCATGAAAGTAACTATTAGATAAGTGGCTGTTTTAATTTAACCAACGTTTTCAAACCTAAGTAATTGAAATATTTCCCCTTTTCACAGAAAAAAATAAGTAACAAAAAATAGAGTATTAAATTCAGAATAACCACATGAATTAAGTAAAAGGCCAATCAATTTCTTTTATTGTAATTGACTCTTTGGTTGATATCTTATTGAAAAAAAATGATAAAAATTGAATGATTCATATAACTTACCTAATCTGACAGGGCGATGGGCTAAATTAAACATCTGCATGGCAATAGAGAAGTCTTCCAAGTGGGTTGTAAAATGACAAAATGACTTGAACTCATCCAAACTAATGCTCTAATAAAACAAAAGGGAGTTTTTTTTTTAAATTACAATTTTATAATTGCATTATATAATCGAACAAAATGTGAGTCCTCTTTTCTAGCATAAAACTTAAAAATTTCTATCTTTCTAAGCAAGTCTATTAAAAAGTTTGAGATGCAGAATAACAAAATTATAGATTTTAAAGGTGAGGAGGAACCTCAAGAGACTGGCAGGAAACTGGGTACGATTGTGTGAATGGGCTGCTAAAGTTGTGCAGTGTAAGACTTGAGGAGGGGGGATTCTGGTGTTATGGACTGAGTCCATCTCTTAAATATTCCTTGTTGAATGAATCCCCAATGTGACTATATTTGGAGATTGGAAGTCATAATACTGTGGATTATGCCTAATGTCCTGATGAGCAGTTTTCTCATTTTGCGTGTGGGGAGTAGGGAGACCTCACCAGACTCCAACCCTGCTGGCACCCTTGATCTCAGGACTTCCAGGCTCCAAACTTGTGAGAAAACAAGTTTGTGCTAATTAGACTGGGAGACAAAGCCATTGTGGCAGGGCTGAGGCAGACATGTTTAGGGGCGATCAGGAGAGGAGGGGAGGGCAGTTGGTGGTGATCAGACTGGTGTGGGGGTAGTTGGGGGTGAGCAAGCTGGCAGGGGGTGCAGTTGGGAGTGAACAGGCTGGCAAGGGGGGTCAGTTGGGGGTGAGAAGGCCAGTGTGTGTGTGTGTGTGTGTGTGTGTGTGTGTGTGTGTGTCAGTTGGGGGTCAGTTGGGGGTGAGAAGGTCAGTGGGGAGCGGGTGAGGGCAGTTGGGAAGAGCGGGCCAGCAAGCAGAGTGGTTAATGGCAATAAGGCAGGCAGGCAGGTGAGCAGTTAGGAGCCAGTGGCCCCAGATTGCGAGAGGGATCACCAGTTTAGGCCTGATCCCACAGTTGGGGGAACACAGTAGGACATCCCCTGAGGGGTTCCACATTGGAGAGGATTCAGGCCAGGCTGAGGGACCCCAGGGACACCCCCCCACTCCCCTGCTGCACGACTTTCGTGCACTGGGCCACTAGTGTCTCTATAATTAGATAATTTTTCTTTCACATCCATCAAAACTTTAAAGTTTTCACATATTTCTAGTTAATTAGTGTTTTAGATTTCGAGAGTATGTTTATTAAAGCTGGGGTCAGTGAAACAAGAAAGGGGTTAGGATAGAAGCAACATAGAGAGCCTAGGCGGGGCTGCTTTAGCTCACTGAAGAGTCAGAGAAAAGGAAGTTTGACGACAGGGTTAGGGGGTTAGCCTGGGAGGAGCTGCCATTGCCCACTGCTCCTAGGGTCCCTTACAGTTTAGAAGATGCATGCCTATGGGGGAAGAAAAGAGGGAAGGGAAAGGCATAGGTGTGCTCCCAGGAGGGACAGTGGGTGCTGGGGCTGCAGGTTTTAAGGGTTTTTAAAGCCTGCGGCTTTAGGGGATGTCTTGGGGGAGGATCTCAATATAATTTTCATCAGCTTTTTGCTGATGCACCAAAAGTAGATTTACTTCCTAACTTCACCTGTCCTTGGGTGTAGCTGGCAAATGGCCCTAATTGGATTTCTCTTTCCTATCTCTCTGAGCACGGTGATTTAAGCCATTTGCCCTCTGACTGGGGAGAACTGTAACCATTAGCTTTTTTTAAAAAACAAATATTTTTAATATACACATTTAAATGTTTTTAATTTATTTTTATTTTATTATTTATTATTATTTAAATTAAAAATTTTTAATTTTTTATTTCAGAGATGAAGAGGGAGAGAAAAAGACATCAATGATGAGAGAAAATCATTGATCAGCTGCCTCCTGCATGCCCCATACTGAGGATTGAGGCCAAAACCTGGGTATATGTCCTGACCAGTAATTAAACCTCCTGGTTCATGGGTCAATGTTCAGCCACTGAGCCACACTGGCCAGGCTAAATATATATATATATATTTTTTAATAATTTGAATTTTAGAGAAAGAGGAAGGGGTGGGGGGGGGGCAGAGAAACTTTGATGTCAGAGTGGGTACCTCCTGCAAGCCTCCAACTGGGGATCAAGCGCACAGCCCAGACATGTGCCCTGACTGGGAATTGAACCAGCAACCTTTTGGTTCTTTGGTCGTTTGACTATCAAATCAGTTTTCCTATTCCACTTTTCCTGGCTCACTAGCCTCTCATTCTTCCCTTAGAGACTTCCATCCCTGAAATCTTTTAGGAGAGATGAGGGAGGATGGTTTATCTTCAATAGCTAGTTAATTTATAATTGTTATATATTGCAATTGCAATTATAAATAGGATCTTCATTATATATTATCTTTTCCCTCACTATAAAATTAGCTTTAAAATTATATTTAAATACCTGTCCTTTTCAAAATAATTTTCAGAACAATATAGTAAAAATAATACATAAAATAAAAATCTCTTGCTGAAACCGGTTTGGCTCAGTGGATCGAGTGTTGGTATGTGGACTGAAAGGTCCCAGGTTTGATTCCGGTCAAGGGCATTTACATTGGTTGCGGGAACATCCCCAGTAGGGGGTGTGCAGGAGGCAGCTGGTCGATGTTTCTTTCTCAGCGATGATTCTAACTCTCTATCCCTCTCCTTTCCTCTCTGTAAAAAATCAATAAAATATATTATAAAAATTTTTTTTGCAATCTCACTGATCATTAATCATTATTAATAGTTTGGCAATCGTTTCATGCACTTCACATACACACACATATGCTACTACATTTTCTGACTTGGAATTTTTACAAAGGACAGCTACTTCTGATATATAGGGTGGGGCAAAAGTAGGTTTACAGTTATTTGTATGGAAAATAATACAATAATTACTCTTTTATTCTGTTAATTTGCACTGGCCACAATTTTCAGAACAACAGAAAGTAACAGCAGTGATAGTGGACATTCCTAATTCCTGATTTTACTGAAAATGCCAAACTCATGACTGCAACACTGATTCTTAGTCAACAGTTCCTTAATAAGAAAAAAGTATGTGGAGAACATTCTCAATTTGATTTTATATTTAAATACTAGAGGGCAGCTCAGTCTTGGTTAATTTCGAAGTCATTTTAATTATATAAATGTCTAACTTATTATTTTACATTCATCTCAAGCATAACAAAAAAGCATACCAACCTCTCCTGCTGACAACTTCTCTCTCACATTTTTCCAATAAATGTCTTTATTTTCAGTGTTAGTGAAAAAAAGGAGCCACTCTGCAAAGTCTTCTTTCCTCATGAAACTCAAACCTTTAGAGAACTGCAGAAATTCCATTTCTTGGACCTCCGTCTGTAGATTCTCCATAAACCTAAATGTTAAAGTACAGAACTGACAGAAGTGGCCAGTGCTTTCAACTGTAACATCATTAGCGGGACTGCAGCACCATCATGAGTTGCATGAAGCATGAATGCCATGTCAAGGACTGTGGCAGTAGATCAGCTGGGTAAGTCCAATACCTGCTTCAATATGACTCCCCATACTTGGTTTGTTTGCACATTCTACATTCTGACAAACTTAAAGACTTAAAAAGTTAGAAAACAGTATTTTTCCAATATAGAAAAATTACCAATAATCAGAGAGACTTAAAATTCAGTTGGGATACTGAATTTTAAGTATCTCTTTTATAATCATAATAATAACTAATGGTTCCTCATAGTTTTCAGATTCCAAATTTGATCAATGTAATCAATGAATAGCTTTGCATCAAAAGCTTAGATTTACTAAAAAATATTTATTTTATTTATTTATTATTTTTTAAAAACATATTTTATTGATTTTTTACAGAGAGGAAGAGAGAGGGATAGAGAGTTAGAAACGTCGATGAGAGAGAATCATCAATCAGCTGCCTCTTGCACGCCCCTCACTGGGGATGTGCCCGCAACCAAGGTACATGCCCTTGACCGGAATTGAACTCAGGACCTTTCAGTCCTCAGGGCGATGCTCTACCACTGAGCTGAACCGGTTTCGGCAAGACTTACTAAAAAATATTTAGAACCTTTGGCCAGGACTGGTTTGGCTCAATGGATAGAGCGTCGGCTTGGGGACTGAAAGGTCCCGGGTTCGATTCCGGTCAAGGGCATGTACCTTGGTTGCGGGCATATCCCCAGTAGGGGTGTGCAAGAGGCAGCTGATCGATGACTCTCTCTCATCGATGTTTCTAACTATCTCTCTCCCTTCCTCTCTGTACAAAATCAATAAAATATATTTAAAAAAAAATATTTAGAACCTTTGGACAAGAACATATGTTTATGTGACTCAACATTCTTTTTAAAATTTTTTTATAAAAGTAGCAGAGCCGAAACCGGTTCAGCTCAGTGGATAGAGCGTCGGCCTGCGGACCGAAAGGTCCCGGGTTTGATTCCGGTCAAGGGCATGTACCTTGGTTGTGGGCAACATCCCCAGAAGGGGTGTGCAAGAGGCAGCTGATAGATGATTCTCTCTCATTGATGTTTCTATCGCTCTATCCCTCTCTCTTCCTCTCTGTAAAAAATCAATACAATTTATTAAAAAAAATTTTTTTTATAAAAATAAACGGCACTTTGATCAAACTGTCATCAATAGCTTTCTAAGAAATGTGTAAAATGAAAGAATGAGAATACATGGAGTGAAAGAGATACAGTCCAGTACAGAGGAAAGAAAGCTGCCACGTATCCCCCAAACCTTAGAAGTATGAGGACGAGTTTGATTTTATGCTTCTATCTGTGGTAGGTGAGAGTCTAAATGTATTGGATACATATATTTATCAGTGCTATGGTCTTTTTGGGTCAAAGCAGAATTTTATCCAAAACTTGAAGCATTTCAGGTTTGGACTGATCAACAAAATTTACTGATATGCTTCATCTTTGTTTTGCTGAGTTTTATTATATTGTGTACTCTGATAACATTCAATTATTTTCCTATCAGGATTGTTAAAAGAATGCTTTACTTGCAAACAACTGTACAATGAATAAGAAAAAAGAAAATGTGGTATAAAAACATGAATAACTAGTTCCTTTCCTTTTTTCCCTCAGGATCTATCCGAGGCCGAAATATTATAAACTTAACTAGAGGCCTGGTGTATGAAAATTCATGCACTGGAGGGGGTCCTTCAGCCCAGCCTGCCCCCTCTCACAGTCCAGGAGCCCTCAGGGCTGGGAGGTGACCTGGCAATGAGGGGAAGGTGATGCCCCCATCACACCTCTGCTGCTGCCACTGCCGGCAGCAAAAGCCTTGGCCGGCCCTGGTTACCTGAGCATCAGGCGGCCCTGTGCAGCTGGGCAGTCGCCATCTGAGGATTGCCTGTGCCTGAGTCTGCCCTGGGCAGCCAACATCCAATGCTTGCCTGCGCCTCAGGTATTGGTTGTACAGCCACCATCCAAGGTTTTCCTGCGTTTTGGGCCTGCCCTAGGTGGCTGGGTAGCCACTATTCAAGGCTTGCCTGTGCCTTGGGCTGGCCCTGGGCAGCTGGGGGGCTGAGGGCAGGTCCGGCTGTCCCCCCGCTCTCCCCCTCGGCTGGGCTGAAAGGACTGTGGGACTCCAGCGGGGCTGGGCACAGCCATCTTGTGGCTAAGTGCGCTGCCATCTTTGTGATGGCATGATGGTTAATTTGCACATCCCCTCTTTATTAGATAGGATTGCTGTTAAATTGTATATTGTTCTGGTTTAAGCTACTTGATTTTAATTAATTGTACTACTTTTGAAGAACATAATTAAAAAAATGTTTTTATTCATTTGAGAGAGAGAGGAAGGGAGAGGGAGAAAGGAACATCAATGTGAGGGAGAAATACTGATTGGTTGCCTCCTGCATGCACCTACCAGGGACCAAACCGGCAACCTGGGCATGTGTCCTGACCAGGAATCAAACCAGTGACCTTTTGGTGCACAGGACAATGCTCAATCAACTGAGGCACCTGGGCCAGGACAAACGTAAAAATGTTTTATAGTAATACTCTTTCTAAGTCTAAGATTATGTATTTTGTTATGACAAAAATCTGCAACATGATAATATACATAATACATGAATTGAAGAATTTATAATATGTAAGGCCACTAGATGCACTCTAAAAACATTTAAATAGTTTATAAATCAGTAGACTAATTGGAAACTCTGGGAAAATTTTGCTTTTCTTTACTTGAGTGCTTAGGCCCTGGTGTACTGGAGCTGGCTTGCAGCAGCTGAGAGAATGTATTGTGCATGTGTTGTCCATGCCAATTGTTGGGTCCAAGCCCCTCTGCTAGGAACTGGACCTCTGTGGACCCTTGGAATTGAAAGAGATGAGTAGCTGCGGGCATACAGGAGAAACTTTATTGCAGATCAAGCAGCCATTTACACAGAGGACACTCATTGTAAATACAGTAGCCAGTCCTTGATAACACAGTAGCAAACACATGAACCCTACAGAGCAGTTCTTGCTAACAAAGCCATCACACTTCATATCTGGCAGCTTAAGATGGGCTTGCTGGAGTAGTCACACTATTAACTTTAAGTGTTACCAATCAAGGCTGTTCTCCTTAAGAACTGAGCATTAGATAGTCAGCAGGTCCCAATCAGTCCACTGCCCACCTGCCGTGATGATGGTGGTGCGGCAGCAAGGGAGAGAGGAGATGGGTAGGTGAGGAACTGCATGGTGGGGGGTGCCTTCTTTGCCCAACCTGGTGACTGTCACCTCCTCTTCCAACCCTGCTAGGGCCTGTGAGCCCCAGGGTGGGATGAGGAACCGGGGGTGTGTGGCAGCGGACGTGGCCCCTTCCCCAGGAGGGCCAAGGGCCAGCTCCCTCTTCAGAGCCAATGGCCAACCTCCCATGTCCTGTCCCTCTCCCCGGCCAGCAGGCCCCAATTGGCCTGGCGCTGATTGGCCCTGATCACCGGCCAGGCCTAAGGACCCCAATCCATGCATGGTTTTCCTGCACCAGGCCTCTAGTATATATAGGAAAGAAGAAAGAGTTGACATGAGTTCAGCACATATTCTGAGTGCCTTCTGTATTTTATGTTCTGTATACTTCAGAAACATTGTTTCAATAAATTATCAGATCTACATCAGACTTCATGTAGGGAAAGAATACTAATGTGAATGAAAGAGGAAAGAATTGAAGATTAGGAAATAAAATATTTGCATGAATTAGAGGTTGCCTCTTTTCTGTTATCAGATTATTTAAAAATTATTAGAATTTATAGTTTCTTTTTTAAATCCTCACCTGAAGACATTTTTTTCCCATGGATTTTTAGAGAGAGGGAAAAGGAGAGAGAGAGAAATGTGAGAGACACATTGACTGGTCGCCTCCCGCATGCACCCAGATGTGGAGATAGAGGGGATCAAACCTACAACTGAGGTATGTGCCCTTGACTGGAATCAAACCTGGGACCCTTCAGTCCATGGGCCGATGCTCCATCCACTGAGCCAAACTGGCTAGGGCTATAGTTTATTTTTACATTTACTCACAACTCTGTAAAGTAGGCAGGACAATACTAGTATCACCACATAAAGTTTTTAAAGATTAAAAGAAGGTACAGTTGACCCTTGAATAACCTGAGACCACTTACACTTGGATTTTTGAAAATATAAGTATATACATTGAAAAAAAGTCATGTATAAGTGAACCCACACAGTTCAAAGTTGCATTTTTTAAGGATCAACCATACTCAATTGTTTCTTCACTTCTTATCTATAAAATTTCCCTAAATGAATATAAATATTTGCATTTACCTGCGAAATTCTCTATAATGAAGTTTTCTTTCTCCTCTTTTTCCAAAGAAACGTATCTGAAGGGTTGTGTTAATTTCAGGTTCTTTCACTTTTGGTTCCTATAAAAATGTTACAGTAATTTCAAATATTATAATCAAAATAAATCCTGTAGCCTGGAACTTTCGGCACAATATCTACAAAAGACTCTTGTAGCAACAACAACAACAACAAAGGTGGACAAGAGAAAAGTCATTTTGTCTGTTTCTTTGTACAACAATAATCTATAATCAGGCAGAAGAAAAATATGGCCTACAATACTCAAAATACTTAAAGTGGTGGACTTAAGCAGTAAACAAAATTTTAAAAATGCTCATACCTTTTGACCCAGCAACTGAGTTTTTGAGGAGTTGTCCCTAAGATATATTCACATATGTATAAAATGACATAATTACAGAATTATTAAATGCAGCATTATTTGTAATTTCAAAAGACTGGATATATTTAAACATCTTTCAAAAGAGGAATGATTACATAAATTGGAACACCAAAGTACTATGGAGCCATGAAAAAATAAGATATTCACCTATTTTTAAAAAGATTAAATCTTTATTGTTGAAAGTATTAAATATGTCCTGCTTTGCTTTCCCCCTCAATATTAAGCTATATTAAGGATAAATGGGAGAGTGGGAAACAGTGTATATAGTATGCATGCTACTGCTTATATAAACATGGAAAAAAGATATATAGATATATTTAATTATTTATATGCATAAAATATCTCTGGAAGAACATACGGCAAACTGACAGAACACACTGCTCAGGGAGAAAAATTCTATCATTCATATATATATATATATATATATACACACACACACACACACACACACACACACACTCTTATGAACCTTATCAAATCTACACCATATGAATGTAGCACATCTACTTAAAATATTTAGAAAAAATAAATTATTATAATTTCCCAAGTATTTTTGAATATTTATTTGAACAAACAGAATAGAGAAACTAATATAATGCCAATCTGTTCGGAAATGTTTACATTATCTGTACATACCTGGCATTCTGTTTCATTAGTTATTGTCTTCAAGTCATCCTGTTTACTTATGATCTTCTGAAGCTAAAAAGATGGCAAACATGAATTTAGATGTGTGTCTACTGGATTTTTCAAAACAACCTCAAAAACAGATGCCATGTTTTTAGTATATATATATATATATATATATATATATATATATATATATATATATATATATTAGGTATTTGTTAAATAGTAACTGAAATTCTTTTTATTTTATTAACTCCTAATGTTATGTTTTTTCTCAGATCATGTAAGAATCAGATATGCAAGAATTAACATTATTATTACAATTTGGATCATTTTTTTTCTCTCAAAGGAAGCCAGCTTACTTAGTATATACATATTCTGATTACTCCAATTCTTAAAGAAAATTTTTTATTCATAACTTTCTGTATTATTGATAGTTTATGGCAACATTTTCAAGTATATAACTCTTAAAAGGCTACTATATACATATATATATATATGTTGTCCCTTTTCTCTTTATACATTTTAAAACATTAAAATTATTTAAAGGCCTACATTTTTACCAATTATAAATTGGTTATAGTACTCTGAGACTGAGTACATTAAAAAACCTACCTTTCAGAGTCATTTGTACCAATCCTCATGTGGAAAGCAAATAAAAAGAAAAGTTAAAAAAATTAAACGTAGACAAAATCTCAAACTATGAATTTAAATCAATTAAGAAATGAACCATCACCAATTTCTTTTAAGGCTATTTTTAAAAAAACTAAATCTTTATTGTTGCAAGTATTACATATATCCCATTTTTCTCCCCATTGATCTCTTCTAGCCTGTCCTTGCCACCCCCATCCCAGGCCTTCATCACCCTATTGTGTGTCCATGCGTTTTGCATATATGCATACAAATTCTTTGGTTGATCTCTTCCCACTCACCCACCCTTCCCTTCCTTCCCTCTGAGATTCCACAAGCTGTTTTATGCATTTGTGTCTCTGGATCTATTTTGTTCATTAGACTGTACATATGAGTGAGATCATACAATACTTGTTTTTCTATGACTGGCTTATTTTGCTTAGCATAATACTCTCCAGGTCCTCCCATGCAGTCTCAAAGGGTAAGAGATGTTCTTTTTACTGCAGTATTCCATGGGGTAAATACCAGTTTATTTTTTTGTTTTGTTTTTTAATCTACTTATCTGCTGATGGGCACGTAGGCTGTTTCTAGATTCTAGTTATTGTAAATAGTGCTTCTATGAACATAGGGGTGCATACATTCTTTCTAATTGATATTTCAGGTTTCTTATATTCTCAGAAGTGGAATTATTGGGTCAACTGGCATTTTCATTTTTAATTCCTTTAGGAAACTCCATACTGTTTTCCATAATGGCTGTATCAGTGTGCATTCTTACCAGCATTGTACTAGGGTTCCCTTTTCTCCACATCATCACTAGCACTTGTCATTTGTTGATGATAGCCATTCCTACTGGTGTGAGGTGATAACTCATTGTCATTTTAATTTGCATCTCTCTGATGAGCAGTGACTTTGAGCATTTTTTTATTTATCTCTTGGCTGTCTGTATGTCTGCTTTAGAGAAGTGTCTCTTTAGGTCATTTGCCCATTTTTATTTTTATCTTTTTATTTTTTTTCCATTTATTTATTTTTTATTTTTTTTAAATTTTATTATTTTATTAAATTATTATTTGTGTACATATTTTACCATTGGCCCCCCCCCCCCATCCATATATACCCACCCTCTCCAGAGTTTTGTGTCCATTGGTTGTACTTATATGTATACAAGTCTTTCAGTTGATCTCTTATTTCCTTCAAATCTCCCTCCCCTCCCCTCTGTAATTTGACAGTCTGCTTGTTGCATTACTGTCCCTAAATCTATCTTTTGGTTCATCAGTTTACAATGTTCTTTATTATTCATAAATGCATGAGGTAATGTGGTATTTCTCTTTCATTGACTGGCTTAGTTCACTCAGCATGATGTTCTCCAATTCTATCCAGGTTGCTGCAAATGATGAGAATTCCTTCTTTTTTATGGCAGCATAGTATTCCACTGTGTAGATATACCACAGTTTTTTGATCCAATCATAAGCTGACGGCCACCTAGGCTGTTTCCAAACCCTAGCTATTGTAGATTGTGCTGCTATGAACATAGGGGTGCATATATACTTTCTGACTGCTGTTTCCATTTTCTTGGGATATAATCCTAGGAGTGGGATTACTGGGTCAAATAGGAGTTCCATTTTCAGTTTTTTGAGGAAACTCCATACTGTTCTCCACAGTGGTTGCACCAGCCTGCATTCCCACCAGCAGTGCACGAGGGTTCCTTTTTTACCGCAACCTCGCCAACACTTGTCGTTTGTTGATTTGTTGATGTTGGCCATTCTGTCAGGTGTGAGATGGTACCGTATTATTGTTTTGATTTGCATCTCTCAGATAATTAGTGACTCTGAGCATGTTTTCATGTGCCTCTTGGTCTTCCTTCTGTCTTCTTTTGAAAATATTCTATTTAGGTCCATTGCCCATTTTTTAATTGGATCATTCATTTTCCTTTTATTTAGTTGTATAAGCTGTCTGTAGATGTTGGAGATTAAACCTTTATCAGTGATAATATTTGCAAATATGTTCTCCCATATAGTGGGCTTTCTTGTTGTTTTGTTGATGGTTTCTTTTGCTGTGCAAAAGCTTTTTTTTTTTTTTTTTTTTTTTTTTTTTTTTTTTTTTTATGTAGTCCCATTTATTTTCTCTTTAACTTCCATTGCTCTAGGGGCAGTATCAGTGAAGAAGTTCTTTTGGCATATGTCTGAGATTTTTGCTTCCTATGGATGCCTCTAGTATTTTTTATGGTTTCCCATCTTATGTTTAAGTCCTGTACCCATTTTGAGTTTATTTTTGTGTATGGTGTAAGTTGGTGATCTAGTTTAATTCATTTGCATGTATATGTCCAATTTTCCCAACGCCATTTATTGAAGAGACTGTCTTGACTCCATTGTATCTTCGTGCCTCCTTTGTCAAATATTAATCGAGCATAGTGATTTGGGTTGATATCTGGGTTCTTGATTCTATTCCAATGATCTAAATGTCTGTTCTTGTGCCAGTACCAAGCTGTTTTGAGAACAGTGGCTTTGTAATAACAGCTTGAAGTCTGGTATTGAGATCCCTCCTACTTTACTCTTCTTTCTTAGGATTGCTGTGGCTATTCGGGGTCTTTTATTGTTCCAAATGAACTTTTGGAGTTCTTTCTAAGTCAAGGAAATATGCCATTGGCATTTTAATGGGGAGTGCATTGAACCTATAGATTGCTTTAGGAAGTATAGACATTTTGATGATGTTGATTCTACCAATCCATGAACATGGTATGTTCTTCCATCTCTTTACATCTTCCTCTATCTCTTTTTTCAGTGTCGCGTAGTTTTCCGCATATAGGTCCTTTACTTCCTTAGTTAAGTTTATTCCTAGGTATCTTAATTTTTTTGGTGCGATGGTAAATGGAATTGCTTTTTTAGTCTCTGTTTCTGTAAGTTCACTGTTGGTGTATAGAAATGCCATGGATTTCTTGGCGTTAATTTTGTATCCTGCTACATTGCGAAATTTATTTATTAAGTCAATTAGTTTTTTGATGGAGCCTTTCCAGTTTTTTATGTACAATATCATGTCATCTGCAAGTAAGGATAACTTTACTTCTTCTTTTCCAATTTGGATGCCTTTTATTACCTCTTATTGTCTAATTGCAATGGCTAGTACTTCCAGTACTATGTCAAATAGTAGTGACAAGAGTGGGCATCCCTGTCTTGTTCCTGTTCTTAGAGGGAATGGTTTTAGTTTTTGCCCATTGAGTATGATGTTGGCTGTGGGTTTATCATATAGCTTTTATTATGTTGAGGTATGATCCCTGTACTCCCACCTTGTTGAGAGTTTTTATCAGGAAAGGGTGTTGGATTTTATCAAATGCTTTTTCCGCATCAATTGATATGACTATATGATTTTTATCTTTCAATTTGTTTATGTGATGCATTACATTTATTGATTTGTGGATATTGTACCATCCTTGCATTCCTGGAATAAATCCTACTTGGTTATGGTGTATGATCTTTGTAAGGTCCTGTTGGAGCCGATTTGCTAGAATTTTGTTGAGGATTTTGGCATCTATGTTCATGAGGGATGTTGGCCTGTAATTCTTTTTCATTGAGTTGTCTTTATCTGGTTTTGGTATCAGGGTGATGCTGGCTTCATAGAAGGAGTTTGGAAGTGTTCCTTCCTCTTGAACTTTTTGGAATAGTCTTAGGAGGATAGGTTTTAGTTCTTCCTTGACTGTTTGGTAAACCTCTCCTGTGAGGCCATCTGGCCCTGGACTTTTGTTTGTTGGAAGCTTTTTGATGACTGTTTCAATTTCTTCCCAAGTCACTGGTCTATTGAGATTTTTAGATTCTTCCTGATTGAGTTTTGGAAGTTTGTATTTTTTTAGGAATATGTCCATTTCCTCCAGGTTGTTCAGTTGTTGGAATAAAGTTGTTTGTAGTATTTTGTAACAATCCTTTGTATTTTGGTGGGGTCTGTTTTTATTTATTTATTTATTTATTTATTTATTTATTTATTTATTTATTAATAATTGTTGTTATTTCACCTCTTTCATTTCTGATTTTGCTTATTTGAATCCTCTCTGTTTCTTGGTTAGCGTAGCTAGAGGTTCATCAATCTTGTTTATCCTTTCAAAGAACCAGCTCTTTGTTTTGTTGATCTTATGTATTGATTCTTTGGTCTCTACGTCGTTTATCTTCGCTCTGATTTTTATTATTTCCTTCCTTCTGCTTACACTGGGCTTTTCTTATTGCTCTTTTTCTAACTCTTTGAGTCGTAGAGTTAGATCATTTGTTACCATTTTTTCTTGTTTTTTGCAATAGGCTTGTAGAGATATGAACTTCCCTCTCAAAACTGCTTTTGCTGTGTCCCATTGATTTTGGATTGTTGTGTTTTCATTGTCATTTGTTTCCAAGATGTTTTTAATTTCTTCCTTGATTTCTCTGGTAACCCAGTCCTTGTTTAATAGCATGCTGTTTAGTCTCCAT